CAGGCCCGGCGCGGCGCTCACCTCCCCGGCGCGGTTGGCCAGCGCGATGAGGTCGCGCTTGGGGGACCAGGCCATGAAGAGAACCTCCTGCGGCAGCTGCTTCTCGCCGACCTGCCGGAACGGCGGCATGGCGACCACGGCGCCCGGCCGGGCCCGCCGCCCCGGCCCCGCGTTCCCGGCCCTGGCCCCGCGTTCCCGGTCCCGGCCCCGCGTTCCCGCCCTCCGCTGGCGGCTTCCGGAGGCGGCGCCTCCCGCCGGCGCGGCAGCCGCGGCCCAGCCCGCTACCGCCGAGGAGTTTCCTTCTTCCCCGGCGGATCGGGCTCGTGGAGCTGGATTAAACACGGAGCGAAGCCGCGGGGCCGGGTGCTCGGCCCTGCGGCGGGCGGGCCAAGAGCCAGGGCCTCCCCAGCACCCGCCGCTCCCGGCCCCTGGAGCCAACGTCCCGCGTATTTTCTTCCAGTAATAAAAGTGACAATCCTTTAAATTCAATCAGGTTTTATTTTGCACAAAAATAGGGTCAACAAGAGAATCAAAGCAGGCTCAAAAAAGTCTTTTGGGTAACTATCAACAGGGAAGGGGGCGGCTCTTCTTCTTCTTTATTCTTTTTCTGGAGAGCAGTGCGTGCTTCATAGCTGATGTTCTACAGAGCCCCATCGTCGCCTTCCTTGCAGTTTTAGGTCTCTTCTTTTTGTCAGTTCTGAAAAGGAAGAAATGAACAGATTAAAGCAACAGTGGTGGCTGCCCAGAATATAAACTACTTGTTCATTTAAGCCTATGAACTCCGCAGTACTGTCCACTGACAATATGTCCATTTTACAAATGGACTCTTTTCTGCCTGTGATAGAAACTTAAGTTCCCTTTCTAGCTTTTTTTTTTTTATTACAGAAAATAACTGATGGCCTGAAAGGTCTAAACTATCACAATATGAGATATGCCTGCCTGAAGAAACAGTTAAAGTTTCCACAGTTTTTTAATATCTTTTTACTTTCTTAAAGAAAGAACTGTTAAGGGAAGGACATTAAACAGAGAGATGTATGTATACACATGGAATAGACATTTACGTCTATAGAGACACACATATCACAGAATCACGGAATGGCTGAGGTTGGAAGGGACCTCTAGAGATCATCTAGTCCAACCCTCTGCTCCACCAGGGACACCCAGAGCACGGGGCACAGGGCGACATCCAGGTGGGTTTGGAGACCTCCAGAGAAGGAGACTCCACAGCCTCCCTGGGCAGCCTGTTCCAGGGCTCTGTCACCCTCACAGCACAGAGCCACATGCACACACATACACACACGACTACATTTCAGCTCTACTACTCTACAGGACGGGTCTCAGCAGGGCCATCAGGATGCCCACGGGCCAGTGCAACCCCGCAAACCTCCCGCAGCCGATCCAGCCCTCGGTGTCCAGCGCAACAAGTGGCGTGTGCCGCAGGGCAGCACTTGTCTCTACCCATACATCCACCCTCCCAAGTCAAGAATTGCAAGCAAACCGATACCTCCTGGAAAAGAGCTTCCAAAATTACTTAACATGCCCCTCATTAGTAAGGTCTTACAGGTTGGACATTTAGACTCTAGCACAGAGGGCACCTGAACTACCAGATGGAACAGCAGAAGACACTGTAACGAGGAAAACAGTTAGCAAGGACAACCTGACAGTGGTTGCTTTGCCTGTCCTTTGGCGAGGAATTTGAAGGATCTAGAGGTGTTTGGTTACTTTAGATGTATTTTGAAACTTTTTAGCAGAGGTATCTCCCATGCACTAATTAGCAAGTGTTGAATCCCTACAAATCCATTTTGAAAGAAAAGTCACTATTTTTACAGTTCAAGGATTAGGACACAGTAGTTTCACTGCCTAAATCATACGTTTTTTTTAATCTTATGCTCCTCCAGTTGACATATTCCCCACAGCACTTCCACAACAACGCAACAAGTGAACAGCAGTGAAAGTTGGTATCAGCATACAAAGTCTAAAATCCTCTCTTTCTATAGCCACTTGCATGAAGCAAGATCACCTCCCACATCTGAAAGCTACTTTGCATTACATCAGTGCAATATCAAACTTACTGGCGAGCTGTTTTAGGGAGGGAGAGGCTGGGACAGGCACTGCGCTTGTGACCTGCTTTGCCACAGACGAAGCAGCCGGCCTCTGTCCTCTCACAGGAATGATCTTGGAGAGCACAGCAGTTGCATTTGTCACAGTGAAACCATGCTGTAAAAAGCATAACAAGATCTGACACCTCAAAAAGGTTTATAATGATGATTGAATTCAAGCTTTTAACTTAAGAGAAATTGCCTATACGTTTACGAATCAAAACACGCAAACTGTTCCTTAACAAATATTTGTGGAATTTAGCATGCCTTGACTTAGCAGGAATTCATCCCATTGCCTCGGAGTGGAAACCTACCCAGTCAACTTATTTATTGGCAATTTGTGCAATTGGGATTTTTTTTTCTTCCTTTACTCTTGTGTCCTGAATGATTACATTTTCTCTCTTCTATGTATTCTGGCTTGTCATCTCAGCTTCTTTGGACTATCTTTGGACTACAGCTTAAAGAATAAGTGCACTTTTCCTTAGAAAAGTATTTTCCTGTACTTACATGGTTTTACACATTTGTTGCAAAGAGCACAATGCTTCCACCGTCTTCCATCCTACAAAAGATGAATGCATTTTATCTTAAAAAAAAACCCAAACAAATAAAACCATTCACCCCATCCCAAAACCGAGCTAGCAGTATGTGTTCCCATTTCTTTACAAAAACATACACCTTGTAAGGAGCGTAAAAGCAAGAAGCCTTTCGATCCTGTGATAACCACAGCAGCACTGCTACATTTTGAAGTTTCCAAGTTCTTCAGTTCCCCAAACTTAACCAACCAAACAAACAAACCCAAACAAAGATTAAATCAACTCAAAACCAAGGAGTATTACAAAGGGAAAGCAGCAAACTTTTGCAGCCCTCCTTCCAAGCCAAAGGAGTCATGAAATGGAAATTAATTCCTAGGGAGTTAGGAATGACACCCTGAGAAATTAAGATGTCTGAACTGAATTGCCTAGGCTTTTCCAATGAAATCAATGCGAGAATAGATTTTTACCAGGGAAAAAAATACCTAAGTTATTTGAGTTGTGGTAAATTTGCCATCCAGAAAGAACTCAAAATACTTACTTTTGATGTGCATGAATTGCATATCTCACAGTGTTGGTTACCAGAGCTAACATATCTCTGACAAATAGTGCAAAACCTGGCAGAAAAGTTACAAATACATTGGTATATTTTCCTCAAGAAACAAGAAACTACATAAGCAAGTTTTAGAGTGTCAACAGTAAGAGTAAGGATGGCAAAATAACTTTGCTAAATGAAAGATAATGCTTTTGATTCACACAACAACTACTTAGGCCCAGAGCCTCTCAAACATTTGGACACCAGAAGTAGAAAATAATAAAATTCAGGTGCCTGAATTCAAATTATCACTGCATTCAAAAGTTAGGCAGTAGCAACATACAATATATTTTGGGACTGTACGGCCCAAATAAAAACATACTGTCAGTCACTTGAATGTAAAGACATCTTACCTATACCCTTCTTCAACAGGGAGTATAATTGTCCTTGGGGTGATGTTGGTGAAGATCCGAACAGGAGACTGTCTACGACCTGTCTTGCCATGTTTATAAAGTGCATGATTATCATAGTCTACCTGGAAAATAAGGACAAAGGAGGGGAAAAAACTCTTAAATTGAATGCTAAGCATAGACTACTTTTTAATTTATTCTGTTTATTAAATTCTTATTTTTATATAAAAGACTAATTCCTAGTTAGAGTACAAATTTTGCAGTGTTTCTGAATCTAAGTACCATAAAAGAAGGCTAGACTCCAGAAACACACTTCCCAAAACTAGTTTTTAACTTTTTCCTTTTCACTCTTTTGCACTAGATAACAAAACCAAAACAACTGCAATATCACAGTTATTGACATGTTTTCTTCTGCTAAAGAAAAAAAAAAGAACTTTTTTTTTCTTGTAGTACAAGAATTATTAGGCATCTTAACCTATCTCAAAATCACTAAGAGCTGCAAATCCAATCACTGCTGCTTTTTCTAGCACTGGATTTACAGACTCTGGCACAGAAGTCTTCCTATGTGAACACTAGCAGGTATGCAGAGTCTATGGCCTAATCCAGGTTTCAATTTCTTCTTCTTTCTTCAAATTTCTACTCTATGAAATTGGTTTTCTGCAATACCCAGTAGAAACTTAAGGCAGAAGAGAAGAGAAACTACCCCTTGAAGACAGAACTATCTTTGCTTCCTGACACAGGTGCCAGGAAGAGGCTTTATGTAGCTGTACAAGATATACTTCCAATAATAAACAGCAAAGAAATCACAGAATAACTTATAAATATGTTATGGTGGTCAAGTCCTTAAATTCATTTTTTACACAGTTATGAAGACTTCCATTGTTACAGTTCCATTCTGATACCAGCAGTTTTGCAGATGAAATAAAGACCAGGCTATTGAAATTACTGACATTTTAACATTTGGGAAAACCCCAACACTTTCTTCACGTTCTCTGCTTTGCAATAATATGCACTTGTTGAAATTACTGTAAGATTTGTCACATTGAAAACATTTTAGAATAAAGAAATTAATGGACAAAAAGACAGGAACAAGGTAAATAAAACTGTAGCAACGTGACACAGTTTATCAGCGCAGGTCTTATACAAATTCAAAATCCACAGTCTACAAATTCAAAACCCACAATCTGCACGTTGAGCAGCATTAGAGAGTTTGCAATGCCTCCCCAACAGTGGAACTAAAGTTGTGAAGACCATCTGCAGACAAGCAGATTTATGATCCACTTCCATTAACCTTCTCATTTGCACTGCACCCCACAAATCAGCAAATCCTCCGGCCCCGCTCATACTGATAAGCCCCACACCGAAGCTCAGGAAACAAACTGGCCTTGGTCATACCTGGTAATCCATCATACTGAAGCTTGGGAAGAACTCGAGAATGCGAGCCTCAAAGAAGTACGGAAATATCCAGAACACAGGCATCTCCCGGTTGTTATCACCTAGAAAGGAAGAGGCTCAGATGTACTCTAAAGAAAACCAGTGTACCTGAAGCATGAGAAGTTTACATTAACTGCCCTGAACGCATGTATGTCATGCAGGTCATAGCTCCTAGAATGACAGGATGTTATTGCCATATTTATAAAGAGTGGTAAGTTCACTCAGACCACTTGTTTCACCTGCCTAGGTTGGTAAGAAATGGTACTAGTTTGATGGCTTGTTCTTCTCCCCCTTTAAAGTCCATGTCAGTTGTAAACTGGACTTCAGTAGATAATTATAGATATTAAATAATTATGTAATAGATAATAGATATTATTTGGCCAAGTATCAGGAGAGTAAATCAAATGTTTTATCTTTGGAAATCATAATACCTACGTTAGCACTCACTAGAATATCCAGAACTATGGACTTTTAAATATGTATTTTTTCTTAAGACGATATTACAAACTCAACCCACCTATCTGCTTGTAATACCTTCTTTTCCTGTTTCCCTCCACATTGCTATCAGCTTTTTAAAACCAGATGCCAGTGCTTCCACCAATCCTCCAAAGGGGGGATCAGTCACCAGAATGACTCTTTCGCCTTTGTCTTGGTGCAAGAATTGCCGGCAAGTTTCACGCGCAGCCTGGAAGAGACAGGGATTACAGCTCTTCAATCTACACTTCTGGAAACTAGATTGTATTTGGCAATAAAAAGATTATTTTAGTAGTTATAACTTTGAAGACTTGTGTTGCTGAATGTGTGATTTCAGGGGAAAACAAAACAAAACCCACCATACACTAGAACTGTAGCACTGAAAACAACTGCTCTCTTCAGTTTGAGCCAAAGGTTTTTTCAACAACATTAATGCTCTGAAGTGCTGCAATCTGAATGCTTAAATGATACTTTGCCATCACACCTATCAACTTTCCACATCTTGAAAAGAAAAACAGGATACTATTCATGCAGCTGAATAAGGCCTTTTGATTTAATTGAATAACATGAACTCTGAATATACTGTTGGATTAAAAAGATTCAAAGACAAGGTTTTCAGACCCGTCTTCATCCTCCTTTTAGATGGATTTTTCTTTTTTTTTTTTGGTTTTCAAGAGCCCATTCAAAACTAGGTTTTAGAACAGAAAAATGTGAAAGCTTTCCAAAAGTGGGAATAGTATGACAATAGGTACATTTATGTGAGTTAGAGATGGCCTGGTAATAATGACAGCGGAAGAGCAAACAGCAGCTGAGTAATTACTGGGACAAATACTTTGAAAATGTTTGGAATTTAATTACACTATGATTATACTACGAAACAGTCAAGAAAGGTTTGGCCTTACCTCTCCACCAAAAAAATGATGATTAAACATGTTATAGTGGCAGAATTCATCCTCTGTATAGAACTGGGAATACCTATAAAGCAAATTTTTAAATTAGTAGAAAAAGAGAGCAACAACTCATCTGTTTTAAAGAGCATTTACAGTTAAAACACATTCTGATTACTTACAACAATATTGAGAGCAATGAAGTATAAAAATTATTCTCATACGGTGGCTGTCACGGATAAATGTGTGTGGAAGGGGAGATGTAGAGTGGGGAAAGTGAAAGAAAAGCACCATTTTCAAACATAAGAACAGAAAAGTTATAAATTTGTGCAGAAAACTGCATTCTTCAGCCAAGTACATGCTTAGAACACCTACCTGAAATCAATATCTAGCAGAAGGCTTCTAATGCCGAAATCTTGATCTTGTTTTGCTTTTGACTGAATCATTTCATGAAGCCTAGAGTGCAATTAAAACAAGAGAAATTTAACATATAACCATATGCTTCAGAAAACATCTTGCAAGACACAAATGCCAGATACTTTACTAAAATTAAAAACAGCTATCGAAAAATTGAATAAACAAAAAATTTATAATATCAACATGACTTCATCTGGCTAACATTTGGAGTTATAAGCATGTCTCCCTTAAAAAATTACAAAGTCAGTGAAGACTATTCAATCCCTTGTGAAGAAATCCAATGCAAGCAAAGAAACTTATTGGCACTTTTGCAGCAAACAAAGCAGGAGATTTTCACTAGCACACTTCTTTTAGATTGCACTGCAGTTATAGTCATCTTGTATATCTTCTTAGACCAAAACAAGATCTAGTTGCTTGGATAATCACTACTAGCTGCTTGGATAATCACAAGCAATTAAAAACCAGTGAACTACTTACTGAGGGAGAAAAATCCAGATAACTTTAATATTAGTAAGTCACACAGTTTTGAGATAGAAATATCATCTGGAAGATGCAACAGTCACCACTAAGATACCTGGGTGTGCCAACAGAGAGCACTCGTCTGAATCCTAAGGCTATAATAAGGTCCAGCAGGAACTGGCAACTTCTGTCTGCAAACAAATACTGAGCATTTGTCTTCTTGTTCTCCAGGGGACTCAGAAGTTGACTGGGAGTTTTTAACTGGGCAGGGGAGATGTCACATTGGAACTGGTGGCCACTGTGGTCTTGCCATTCAGCTGGCAACAGCAATTGCTGGCAATCCTGACAAAACTTCCTCTGTGAGAGCGGCAGAACAACAAAATTCTTTAATCTTTAAACACAAAAGACAAAAAAGGAACATACTTTGAAAAGACATCTATAAAAGTTATAAAGCACAAGTCCCTATTTTATAATGGACTTTATAATACCTACCTGGAGGGCAGGTAGTTTAAGGTTCTCCTGCAAACATCCACCAATTAAATATTCATTAAAAAATAAATAAAAATCAAAAAAGTCCACTTTGACAGCAAGTAACATGTTACCCCAAAGTGTTGGGACTTGTTACTGTATTACCTTTGCTTGTTTGCACAACATTAAGTTACAGCCTGGCATTTCTGCACAGTCCACTGAAAATTACATCTATTTTTTTGAATTCAAATTGCCACTGACCTGCTGCTGCTAGCATACAATATAAAAAGAAATGCACAGTCAAAAAACTAAGTATATATGTAATGCCCACATTGCAACATTCAATTAGGTTATTCCCCTTTGCAGTCAACAGTTCTCATCTTTCCAAGTCCCTTCTGCCTGTTTTTATATGTTAAGAAAGAAAATCCTGGAACATTATATCTACATTCCTAATATCTACGTTTACCTTAAGTAATTTAACGGTTTTAATGGAAGAAAATACCTTTCCACATTCTGCCTGTGCGTAAAAGAAGGCTGATGATTTCTGTTATATTCTTCACATGCTGCAAGCCTCGTTTCTGACACCTGTAAGGTTTATATACACATATTGACACGCAGTTACAAACAAACAGGAACAGCTCTGTGCTCCAGATTCAATCTCAACGTTAAGCTAGAAAGGTGCAAACTCTGCTCAGAAAATCCCCATAGCTCTTTGGTTATGGGGTCCCAAGAACAAGGGTGTTCACACCGGGTCCGTATGTGGTGGCAAGCAACACAACCACACTCTCAGTCTGAATTCAAACTATTCAAAATTATAATAATTTATTTTTCACTGGATGAATACTCTGAGGGAAAAGAGATAAAGAGACAAATAAATAAATACCTTCTCATCCTCCCACTGGAAGAAGCTGCAGTCCCTCCTATCCCTGCAAGCCGAGCAGGCGTAAAACCTCCTTCCCTGCTCCCCGGCCCGGCTCGTCTTCGCGAAGAGAAGCGCGGGCCCTGGCGAGGCGCAGCCGTTACCGCGCGACCGTTGTAACCGCCCCTCCCATGGCGGGGCCCTCCCGACCCCCCGGCCCGGCCCC